GTTGCTTAAAAAGGGTTTTTGATGCTTTCTGCTGGATCTTTTGTGTCGAGCTAAGATGGCTGTGTCCATCCCGCGTAGATTGCTGTCAATGCGTTTTCTGATGTTGGAATTGTCAGCAGTGTATAATAGTAAAGGAGCGTGCAAGTACACTTTCCTTTGAGGCACCCCCGAAATTTATAGGATAGTTCTGAGTTACACCGTTAAATTTTATTTGAAAATATCTTTCCGTTGAGGTAGATTTTCATAAGAGATAATAAGGATATAGTAAGTTTTGCTCAATTATTAACAATAAACCTGGGAGCCAGACCTTATGATAGGTTCTGCGCTTATGTCAAGAAACACAGCACAGCAATATTCTTTATTTCTTCTACGCGATTCACTAATTCCTTTACTATTCGATGGATGTTGTTCGATAGTCGAATGGCTTTGTCTGAACCCAAAATTGATGATGGCGGTTTATTCTTTTCTTGTAGAGTGGATTCGATGTGATCAGAAGTAGTTTCTCAAAAAACTTTGGATAGTGTTGGTAGAGATATAGTAAGTATGATTACTATTCATTCATTGGTATGCCCGGTTCAGGATACTATACTTGGGCTATTTTCCATTGCTCGGGGAAAGTGTCCTAATCATTGAATGGCCATTGAAAATAGAAGTAATTAAGGCTATAATTTTAATTGGTAGATGCGTAGATTGTTATAGAAATTCATATCATATGCGGAGCTTTGTTTGTTGGTAAAATTTTAATGTTCAAATTCTCGAGCACTTACGGGCTTGATTTGGGAGCTAGTTGCAAGCGGTGAATCTAGGAAGTTATTAAAATTTCTTCCTCCTTCTGCTGCAGATATTTGTAAAGGAAATGTCGTTGAAGACGTTAGAGAAATGGGAGGCAAAGCATTCAGTTTTCTCTTTGTCACTTTAGTCCATGTTACCATCAGTTTTTCTGATCGGAGGAATATGTTGCATTGGCCTCTTCAAGCATTTTTGGTAGATTTTCAAAAGAGTTACTCTGAATTTTGAAGTTGGAGTCAATCTTGTAAGTTTATCTTGTAGAGCGTTGTTACGGTGTTTCGGAAGTAATCTTTGTTCAGGTTTTAGTGAAGCAGGAATTTTTCTTCTTTTAGTTGCTGGATCTTAGTGATTTGCCATTGTTTTTTTATTTTCGTTTTACTTCACCTTTTTCCCTATTTAATTGTGGATAGTGTTTGGTGTTTATATTGCTTAATTTCTGTGTAGAATAGCCATGCAGCTTTGATGTTGTCTTGTTACGTAATTCGTATTTGCTTCATTTACAGGCGAGAGCACTTTTTCAGGTGGGTAGATTAGCGGTGCTGTTATTTAAATTAGGCCATTCTGAGAAGTATTTCCAATGTGTTTTATTTGTATGAATGACCTTTGCCTTGTTATCTTCATAATGAATGAGCTGAAGATTAGTAGAACTATTTTTGAGTTGGTCAGATGAGTAGTCTCTGTGACCAGTAGGTGCGAATGTAACTTTGTTTTACTTCCTTACAATAAGAAATCTAAAACATCAGAATTTTGTTAATGGTCAGAGCGGCAATAAGTGGGTGGTCTAGAAGGTAAGTGTGATAATCTTGTCGTTTATTAGTAGATTCATAGAGAAAATTTTCCTTTGTGGAGATGTTAGTCTTGGAAGCCCACAAAGGATGTTAGAATTGTAGTCGCCGCAGAAATAAATTCTTGGTCCAAGTGTTTTGAGGAAATTTGGTGAACTGTGAATCTGAATTTTATGTTTTTGGAGGGCGAATTATAATAGCGTGCAATATTCAATTTCTGAATGCATCACTTACTTTGAATGAATAGTTGCCTAGCAAATACATGGTGCTAATATGAGAAGGTAAAACGATGTTTTAGATCTTTCCCGAACCATTATGGCTGTTCCTCCATGTGCATGTACCATCTGGATGTTTGTGTTAATATATGTGGTATCCTTGAAGTGGAAAAAGAGCTCTTATTAATTGAAATGAGTTTCTGAAATGAGGCATTATATCCCTGGTATTTGTTAACTGAAGAAAGCACTTAACTTCATCTCGGTGTTGTAACAAGCCATTGGCGTTCCATGCTGCCTATTTTATATGATTCTGTTCATAATTTAGTGTTAGCAGTTTTGACACAAGATTTAAAAGTGCATTATCTGTTCTGCTTGACTGGGTTTAGTATTAGCTTTCATCTTTCGAAAAACTGCCTGTATTATTGGGAATTAATTGACTTATTAGACTGCCATGTTTAGCATTATTGTTTAAGCTATTCGTTCTGTTGTGGCTGTCAGTGCTGGTGCATAAGTTACACGCTTATGTAAATTCATTTGTGAAGTATCTCTCAGTTGTGAGACGTTTTCTTGACTGT